AATGCGTGGTATACTAGGTATATCATTTTGACTCGACGCGTAATGCGTGGTATATGAGGTATATCCTTTTGACTCGACGTGTAATGCTTGGTATACTAGGTATATCCATTTAACTCGACGTGTAATGCGTGGTATACTAGATATATCCTTTTGACTCGACGTGTAATGCGTGGTATACTAGCTATATCCTTTTGACTCGACGTGTAATGCGTGGTATACTGGGTATTTCCTTTTAACTCGACGTGTGATGCTTGGTAAACTGGGTATATCCTTTGATTCGACGTGTAAAGCATGGTATGCTAGGCATATCCTTTTGACTCGACGTGTAATGCGTGGTATACTGGGTAAATCCTTTTGACTGGACGTGTAATGCGTGGTATAATGGGTAGATTCTTTTGACTCCACGTGTAATGCGTGGTATACTAGGTATATCCTTTTGACTCGACGCGTAATGCGTGATATACTGGGTATATCCTTTTGACTCGACGCGTAATGCGTGGTATACTGGGTATATCCTTTTGACTCGACGTGGAATACGTGGTATAATGGGTAGATCCTTTTGACTCGACGTGTAATGCGTGGTATATGAGGTATATCCTTTTGACTCGACGTGTAATGCGAGTTAAACTGGGTATATCCTTTTGACTCGACGTGTAATGCGTGGTAAACTGGATATATCCTTTTGACTCGACGTGTAATGCTTGGTATACTAGGTATATACTTTAGACTCGACGTGTAATGCGTGGTATACTAGGTATATCATTTTGAATCCACGTGTAATACGTGGTAAACTAGGCATATCCTTTTGATTAACTAGTCGCATAAGCGATGTTGTCAACGAGACAGTTCTCAAACTATACTGTCTTTATCAGTTTCTAACCATTGAATGCTATTATCAAACAATTCAGTACTCAAATTCCTAATTACCTTTAGTGATGTGTGTCCAATGTAGGCAAGGGAATGCTTGCCTTCATAACTGGACACGCCCTGTCCTGTCTCAGATTGCATGGTGATTTAAGTTTGTACCTGGTCTTTGGAGTCTTATCTGTTCCCATTGTAATCTTTTCGTATGATCTTTGTATTGGACCATGTGATCTTTTAAAAAAAAAATCAATATAATAAGGTCGATTTCTTTTTTTATCATTTAATTACACTTTGTCATAATTGATATATATGAATAGACAATGTGGAGAATATTAAACTAGCGATGATTGATTAGGAATCAATATCCATTCTCGTGAGGACATTCTTAACTAGGATCCACGCGCTTAAGATTGCATATGAATCATACATAATTTTCTCGAGCAAGTACATGTAGCGTTTTCACGCATGTGTAAGACGCCAGAGTGGTAGGGTGGCGTCGAAAACTTCTACGACGCTACAAATAGTGATCAGCACTGTGAAATATTTGAGTGAAATACTACAAAGTTAGCTGTATATATATCTATATACAATTAAATTCGGGTGGAAATTGTAACCCTATACCTCCACTAGACAAATAATGATATCTATTGAAGGTCGCGTTGATTGGTCTGATTCAAGTTGCTTCTGCTCCAGGAGTCGAACCCACACTTACCAGCGAACACTCTCAAACTTGGGACAGTTGACTGACACGCCAAACAAGTTAAACTGCTGAGTTACGCATATATCTTCTTTGTCTTGTATAGATATTGCGTAATTTTAAACGTTCATCGTACACCTGTCCCATGGACAGAAGGTATGTTGCACCTGCCAAGTAACTAAGCATCAGTTGAAGGTGTTACATGTACCAGCTTTTTTGTCTTCATGTTATTCGTTAACAAATAAATCATGGGCGAACACTAAACATATGTACACACCTATGTAAACCTGGTACATGTGCAGAGTTTAAAATCTGATTCAATTCCTTTTGATGAGCACCTGTCATAAGCATACATATTCAAACATTCTTTGTTTGATGTTCGTCATTCGAGCTGGGTAGTCGTACTTCATATGTGTAGTTAAGTATAGTATACGTGTCACACATGATCAATGATGGAGAACTGTGGCACGTGCTACAGGTATCGTTATTGACCTTTGTGTAAAGATTTAACACCTGTTGAAAACCTTGCCATAAATTAAACATAGAAAATTAAAAATAGCATAGACTTTAGCTAATGGAACGTTCGCGCGACTTTTTTGGGGATACGACACTCTAAGCCAGGATATATATATATATAAAACGACAAACATCGCCTGCTTTTATTCTTAAAGGTATGAAATTGCTTCGTCACATATTAATAAAACACATACTTATAATTCAATAACTGACAGGAGATCAACTTACCACTGAATACATATACATAATGTTCGGATGCAAGACTGTGTATGCGATGCAAGTACGCGACAACATAGAAGATATCCAAATAGTGCTTATCGATACTGGTATCCAATCGAATGAGTCTACCTACTCAAGGATCACCTGTCGAGAAAATCTATCAATCATAATCGATCATGACATGTTGGATATTTTGTTTATTCCTTAAGACTAAAGTGAATAAAAACGGTTCACTTCACGACATGTAAAGTTGTTTTATACTGTGAAATTATCACCGACACATAATCCACCGGGAGGGTGATACGTTCTCCAGCCATTATAGCAGATACTGTAAATTGCAGCCGTTTAACGGTTTAAACAAGCTGCTATCAGAACAGGGATGAAACATTAACATCAATATTCCTTCAATACATTTGTAACGAAATGCTTTAATTAAAGGCGATGCTCTCATATAATTCCTGCCTTACTTTTTAAGGATTTCCAGGTAAATATTTCCTTTGTTCCTATCTTGTCCTAGTGTTATCCAGGTAAATATTCCCTTTGTTTCTATATTGTCCTAGTGTTACTGTATCAAGGTAAATATTACCTTTGTTCCTATCTTGTCTCAGTGTTCTCCAGGTAAATATTCCCTTTGTACCTTTCTTGTCCTAGTGTTTTCCAGGTAAATATTCCCTTTGTTCCTATCTTATCCTAGTGTTATCCAGGTAAATATTCCCTTTGTTCCTATCTTGTCCTAGTGTTGTCCAGGTAAATATTCCCTTTGTTTCTATATTGTCCTAGTGTTATCCAGGTGAATATTCCATTTGTTCCTATATTGTCCTAGTGTTATCCAGGTAAAGATTCCATTTGTTCCTATATTGTCCTAGTGTTATCCAGGTAAATATTCCATTTGTTCCTATATTGTCCTAGTGTTATCCATGTAAATATTTCCTTTGTTCCTATCTTGTCCTAGTGTTATCCATGTAAATATTCCATTTGTTCCTATCTTGTCCTAGTGTTATCCAGGTAAATATTCCCTTTGTTTCTATATTGTCCTAGTGTTACTGTATCAAGGTAAATATTACCTTTGTTCCTATCTTGTCTCAGTGTTCTCCAGGTAAATATTCCCTTTGTACCTTTCTTGTCCTAGTGTTTTCCAGGTAAATATTCCCTTTGTTCCTATCTTATCCTAGTGTTATCCAGGTAAATATTCCCTTTGTTCCTATCTTGTCCTCGTGTTATCGATTTTGAGTTCGAATTGTGGTTTTGTTGACAAATCAGTCTTCTCTTGTTGTTTTCATTTTCCTATTTATGTATACATGTACATATATTTACAGACGTCATGATTATTTATCTGCCACCAGTATAGATTCATATTGGCTGTAACTGCAATCTGACAGGCGTTCAATCGTTATATTTACATTTCCTCATACGACCTGTTTTTTGTTTTGTTAATTTGTCGGATGAGCTTAGTTTATATTTACGGCTGCCACAAAACCTCACTGGTCCAATTCTTGGATCAGCTGCAGACGGACGTTATCGGACCGAAAACTTCACAAACAACGGTCGCCATCAAAAAATGTAATCAGGCGACAACTGTTAAATGCTCTAATTATATGTGCAGAAAGTTCTAGTACAAAAGTAAGAACTTACCTTCCTATTCTGGATGTCTTCATTGTCTGCAAAACCCGTCAAAATACGACTTGTAGGAACCAAACAACAACAACAAGATGGCGGCTATCGTAACGGTGGGAATAGTTGTTAACACTGACTTCACGAAAACCACGGGCATGTGACTTGATAATGCTAACTGCAGTTACTGTCCAGTAACTTTCAAGAGAGTTAATAGAAAATAGGATATATCAGCACATCTACTATATGAATCGACTATATTAATGTATACATTAACCAACCCGATAGCATGCACATATTCGTACAGACCATGTCGGTCTGTCTGCCTCTGTCTTCCGGCCTATTTGTGTCTGCCTGCCTTTCTTCCATCCCTCCCTCTCTTCTTCTTCATCATTTTCTGTTAGGTTTTGGCTTTCCCCTGTTTCTGTCCCCTGTTTCTCTTTTCATTGTTTTGCACATGCTTCTCTCGCCCTGTTTATGTCTTTCTCATGCTTCTATCTGTCTCTTTATTTGTCTGTCTATGTGTCCAACCGCCTGTTTATGTCCATCTTTGCCTCTTCCCTGTTTCTGTCTGTCTGTCTAAGTGTCATCGCCTGTTTCTGTGTGTCTGTCTAAGTGTCTCCCCTTGATTCTGTTTGTCAATGTATTTCCCCAGTTTCTGTCTGTCTGTGTGTGTTTCGTTCTCAATTTCTGTCTGTCCGTTTGTCTAAGTGTCTCCCCTAGGTTCTGTTTGTTAATGTCTTTCCTCTGTTTCTGTCTGTCTGTCTGTTTGTGCTCCTTCTCCCGTTTCTGTCTTTCTGTCAGTCTAAGAATATCTCCTTGTTTCTGTTTGTCTATGTCTTTCCCCTGTTTCTGTTTATGTCTCTCACCTATTTCTGTTTATCTATGTATTTCAACTGTTTTTATCTATGTCACTGTTTTTGTCTTTGTTTCTCCCTTTTTGTACGGTCGTTCTATGTCTCTTTCCATATTTTGCAAATCAATGTATCTTCCTTTGCCTAGTTACGTCTCTCCCACTGTTTCTGTCCATGTCTTTGCCTGTTTCTGCCTAGGTACGTCTCTCCCTCTGTTTCTGTTCACGTGTTGCCCTGTTTCATGCCCAGGTACATCTCTCCCTCTGTTTCTGTCCATGTTTTCCTTCCCCGTTTCTGCGTAGGTACGTCTCTCCCCCTGTTTCTGTCCATGTCTTTTTCCTGTGTCTGCCTAGGTACGTCTCTCCCACTGTTTCTGTCCATGTCTTCGCCCTGTTTCTACCTAGGTACGTCTCTCCCTCTGTTTCTATCCAAGTGTTGTCCTGTTTCATGACTACGTACGTCTCTCCCCCTGTTTCTGTCCATGTCTTTTTCCTGTGTCTGCCTAGGTACGTCTCTCCCACTGTTTCTGTCCATGTCTTTGCCCTGTTTCTATCTAGATACGTCTCTCCCTCTGATTCTGTCCATGTTTCTCTCCCGTTTCTGCGTAGGTACGTCTCTCCCTCTGTTTCTGTCCATGTCTTCGCCCTGTTTCTACCTAGGTACGTCTCTCCCTCTGTTTCTATCCAAGTGTTGTCCTGTTTCATGCCTAGGTACGTCTCTCCCCCTGTTTCTGTCCATGTCTTTGCCTGTTTCATGCCTAGGTACGTCTCTCCCCCTGTTTCTGTCCCTGTATTTGCCTGTTTCATGCCCAGGTACGTCTCTCTCGCTGTTTCTGTCCATGTCTTTGCCTGTTTCATGCCCAGGTACGTCTCTCTCGCTGTTTCTGTCCATGTCTTTGCCCTGTTTCTATCTAGATACGTCTCTCCCTCTGATTCTGTCCATGTTTCTCTCCCGTTTCTTCGTAGGTACGTCTCTCCCTCTGTTTCTGTCCACATGTTGCCCTGTTTCATGCCTAGGTACGTCTCTCCCCCTGTTTCTATCCACGTTTTGCCCTGTTTCTGCCTAGGTACATCTCTCCCCCTGTTTCTGTACAATTGTTGGCCTGTCTCTGCCCAGGTACGTCTCTCCAACTGTTTCTGTCCATGTCTTTGCCCTGTTGCTACCTAGATACGTATCTCCCACTGTTTCTGTCCATGTCATTGCCCTGTTTCTGCCTAGATACGTCTCTCCCCCTGTTTCTGTCCATGTCTTTTCCCTGTGGCTGCCTAGGTACGTCTCACCCCCTGTTTCTGTCCATGTCTTTTCAATGTGTTTGCCTAGGTACGTCTCTCTCATATTTTCTGTCCACGTTTTGCCCTGTTTCTGCCTAGGTACGTCTCTCCCTTGTTTCTATCCATGTCTTTTCCCTTTGTCTGCCTAGATACGTCTCTCCCGCTGTTTCTGGCCATGTCTTTCCTCTGTTCTACCTAGGTACGTCTCTCCCCCTATTTCTGTCCATGTCTTTTTCCTGTTTCATGCCTAGGTACATCTCCCCCCCCCCGATTCTGTCCATGTCTTTTCCATGTGTCTGCCTAGGTACGTCTCTCCCCTTGTTTCTGCCCATGTCTTTTCCCTGTGTCTGCCTTAGTACGCATCTCCCTCTGTTTCAGTCCATGTCTTTGCCGTGTTTCTGCCTAGATACGTCCCGCCTCCTGTTTCTGTCCATGTCTTTTCCAGTTGTGTGCCTAGGTACGTCACTCCCTCTGTTTCTGTCCATGTCTTTTCCCTGTTTTCGCCTAGGTATGTCTCTCCCCCTGATTCTATCCATGTCTTTGCCCTGTGTCTGCCTAGGTACGTCTTTCCCCCTGTTTCTGTTCATGTCTTTTTCCTGTGTCTGCCAAGGTACGTCTCTCCCCCTGTTTCTGTCCATGTCTTTTCAATGTGTCTGCCTAGGTACGTCTCTCCCTCTGTTTCTGTCCATGTCTTTGCCCTGTTACATGACTACGTACGTCTCTCCCCCTGTTTCTGTCTATGTCTTTTCCCTGTGTCTGCCTAGGTAGTCTCTCCCCCTGTTTCTGGCCAAGTCTTTCCTCTGTTTCTACCTAGATACGTCTCTCCCCCTGTTTCTGTCCATGTCCTTGCCTTGTTTCTGCCTAGGTACGTCTCTCCCCCTGTTTCTGTCCATGTCTTTCCTCTGTTTTTACCTAGATACGTATCTCCCTCTGTTTCTGTCCATGTCTTTTCCCTGTTTTCGCCTAGGTATGTCACTCCCCCTGATTCTATCCATGTCTTTGCCCTGTGTCTGCCTAGGTACGTCTCTCCCCCTGTTTCTGTTCATGTCTTTTTCCTGTGTCTGCCAAGGTACGTCTCTCCCCCTGTTTCTGTCCATGTCTTTTCAATGTGTCTGCCTAGGTACGTCTCTCCCTCTGTTTCTGTCCATGTCTTTGCCCTGTTACATGACTACGTACGTCTCTCCCCCTGTTTCTGTCTATGTCTTTTCCCTGTGTCTGCCTAGGTAGTCTCTCCCCCTGTTTCTGGCCAAGTCTTTCCTCTGTTTCTACCTAGATACGTCTCTCCCCCTGTTTCTGTCCATGTCCTTGCCTTGTTTCTGCCTAGGTACGTCTCTCCCCCTGTTTCTGTCCATGTCTTTCCTCTGTTTTTACCTAGATACGTATCTCCCCCTGTTTCCGTCCATGTCTTTTCCCTGTTTCTGCCCAGGTACCTCTCTCCCCCTGTTTCTGTCTATGTCTTTTCCCTGTTTCATGCCTATATACGTCTCTCCCCTATTTCTGTCCATGCCTTGGCCTGTTTCATGCCTAGGTACGTCTTTCCCCTATTTCTGTCCGTGTCTTTGCCCTGTTTCTACTTAGGTAATTCACTCCCCCTTGTTTCTGTCCATGTCCTTCCCCTGTTTCTACCTAGGTACGTCTCTTCCCCTTGTTTCTGTCCATATCCTTCCCCTGTTTGTACCTAGATACGTCTCTCCCTGTGTTTCTGGCCATGTCTTTCCCTGTTTTGATCTGTCTTTCCCGCTGTTTCTGTCAATCTATGTATATCCTATCGTTTTTGACTGTATATGTCTCTCCCCCTATTTCAGTCTTTCTATGACTATGTTTATGTCTGTCTGTCTCTTTCCACCTGTTCTTATCAATCTATCTCTTTTCCCCGGTTTCTATAAGTAAGTGTGTGCTTTTCCAATGTTTCTGTCTATGTCTCTCATCTTGTTTCTGTATATATCTTTCCCACTCTTTCTGTCTATGTCTCCCCACGTTTCTGTTGGTCTAACTGTCTAAGTCTATCCCCATGTTTCTGTTTGACTGACTGTATAAGGCTCTCCCCATGCTTCTGTCTAAGTCTCTCCCAATGTTTCTGTCTCATTTCCCATTTCTGAATATGTCTTCCCCCCTTATGTCTGTGTATCCATATATGTCTCCCCGCTGTGTCTGTCTATATATGTCTCCCCGCTGTGTCTGTCTAAATATGTCTCCCCCGCTGTTTCAGTCATTCTATGCCACTCCCAATGTTCCTATATATGTCTCCCCGCTGTTTCTGTCAGTCTATGTCTCTCCCCTGTTTCTATATATGTCTCCCCGCTGTTTCTGTCAGTCTATGTCACTCCTACTGTTTCTATATATGTCTCCCAGCTGTTTCTGTTAGTCTATTTCACTCCCCCGTTTCTTTATATGTCTCCCCACTGTTTCTGTCAGTCTACATCACTCCCCCGTTTCTTTATATGTCTCACCGCTGTTTCTGTCAGTCTATGTCACTCTTCCGTTTCTTTATATGTCTCCCCGCTGTTTCTGTCAGTCTATGTCACTCCCCCGTTTCTTTATATGTCTCCCCGCTGTTTCCATCAGTCGATGTCTCTCCCCTGTTTCTGTTTGACCAACGATCTCCCCCTGGTTTCATTGGTCTATGTCTTTATTCCGTTTCTGTTTGTCTATGTATCTTCACCTAGTTATATCTGTCTGGCTGTCTGTTACTCCCCTGTTTCTGCCTATGTCCTCTCATGTTTCTGTCTGTCAATGTCTCTCCTCCCATTTCTGTCTGTCTATGTTTCTTCGCCTGGTTCTATCTGTCGGGCTGTCTATGTCTCTTCCTCTAATTCCATATGTCTATGTATCTTCCCCTGGTACTGTCTGTCTTGCTATCAGTGTCTCTCCCCTATGTATTTCCCTCTGTTTCTATCATTTCATGTCTCGCCTTGAGTTCCTGTCTATGTCTCTTTTCCTAATTCTATTTGTCTATGTCGCTTCCCCTGGTTGTGTCTGTCTGGCTGTCTGTGTCCCTCCCCTGTTTTTGTCTATCCATGTATCCCCCTGTTGCTATCAGTCTTCGCCTCTGTGTGTTTACCTGTCTATGTGTCATCCCCTGTTTCTGTCTGTCTGTCTGTCCGTCTGTCTGTCTGTCTATCTGCCTGTCTATGTATCTCCTCCTTTTTTTCTGTTTGTCTCTATGTCGCGGGCTCATTTCTTTCTCTCGGGTAGGACATTATAATTTCGGTAGAAATATGTATGCAAGTGTTAACTAAAGCCGCGGTCACATATAACGGTCACGCACGTAGTTGACCGTAGTGGGGGATGACTGTAGTAGACTGTAGTAGACCGTAGGTGAACTTAGTTAAACGTTTTAAACGTAGTTAGACGTTATTCCCTAACCCTTACCCTAACTCCTACATTCAACATTACTTAACCCCACTTCACCCTAGTTGACCCTAGTTAACCGTACTTAACAGTACTGTGAACGTACTTTAAACGTAGCCCATTCCTAGTTATTGTCCCTATTTGACACTACTTGACCGTATTGTTAACCGTAGTGCCATGCTACTGCGGTCAACTACAGTACAAAATACGGTCAAGTAGGGTCAATTACGGTCAAATAGGGTCAACTACATTCAAACTACGGTTACAGTTGGGTCTTGGCATTCACACTCATCGTAGAGATATTTTGAACATCTTAAAAATGTTTGGGCTAACCACGGCCAAATCGTTTGTTTCTTTAAGTTCAAACTACGTGTATAGCTACGTCTAACTACGTGTTACTACGTTTAACTAATGTCACTTACGGTCTACTACAGTCACCTACGGTCACCCCAACTACGGTCAACTACGTATACGCGCGTGACCGTAAGATGTGACCGCGGCTTAACACGGAACATAATGACTACGAAGACGATGTTCGTGTTACTAGTAGGTATGATTCATGGTATATCTTTCTGGCTCGTAGATTAAGCGCGGAAGAGTGGAGGACAGAAAACATAATGGTATTCAAACAAGTAAAAGTACAAGCAAAAGTCATGCACATCTGTTTATAAAGAAATGTGTGAAATTATAATAATTACACACGTACGATGTTTCCATCAGTATAAACAGTTGCAAGGACGGTAAACAAAATACAAGACAAATTCGCATTAATATGATCCGTCTCTGTCTGGAGTTGTTAAAGGGATGCAGAAGTAGGCTGAACCATTTAAAAGGATCCTTTTCAATTATTACCTCATAGATATAGTATGACTTGGAATAAAACATGTGCACTCTTATTAAAGGCAAGGTCGAGTTCTAAATCGACAAGAATATTACCAGAGTAACACATACAAATAAGCATGTGCTTCCTACTACATAATGATTGCCGTATCAAAAGACACTTTAGATGTGAAGTAACTATAAACTAAACCAAAGCTAGCTTTTTCTAATCCATGATCAATTAAGGTATGTTTAGCTTTTAAGAGCCATTTTAAAGAAAACTTTCATTTTATGTTTATTTATATTTCCACTAAGCTAATCAGACTTTCACACAACGTTTCTATATCTTTAAACTGCGCAATCACCGGGATAACGTGCAGACAGCTAAATCAATAAAGTCAGGTGCTAATGACACATCGGACAATTATACATTTCTACCAGCACATTTTCGATAAGTTTGTTGTATTTTATAAACTAAGAATATGAAAATAGGCACCTTTTATGTATCGTAGTGTAAAGTCAGCATTAGAAAGAAACATCAAACTAATTCTAGA